AACCTGACCCTTTTTATTTTTATGTACATTCCTGTATTAAATGAATAAGGGAGTCCATTGTACAATGTTCGGGAAAAGTAGTTTATAAAGACATGAGATTAGACTACGTATTTTCCTTCTGTGTTACAATTGGGCTGGCTCAGAGTGAGTGATGACTTCTTGAGTAGCTGTAGAGTTTGGAGCTATGTGAAAAGTTGACTGTGAGGGAAATGGGAGCTACCTGGATGACTTGTTGAGTTTTATCACCAAATTACTTAGAGAAGGAAAGAATTTACTAGAAGTTAAAAGAGAACAATTTTAAGGAACTCAAATGATAATCAACATTTTTACAATCAGGCCTGAATCTGTTAATATATTTGAATTTCAAGTTGTATTTAAAGTTGTAGGTGTCATTGTTTTTTCTCTGGATTGAAAATATTAGAGCATGATCTTTTAGTTGGATGAACAACACTAAAAATGTTCAAATACCAGTACAAATCCTTGGAGCTGATGGAGCAAGACTTACATCATGGGGATTTTTTACAAGATCAAACTGTAAAAGACAAGGTTGAGAATGTTTCTTTGAAATTATTGTACAACCTGAGACAAAAAGCTTTTTAAAGGCAAACTTTTATGCTTCACATTATTTTTTCCAAAATGTCACTGTTTTCAACTTCCCATTAATCTCCAGTAAGTCCCACAGCCTCCATGAAAGAGTATACAGGGACTCTCACCCTCTTTTCTGAGCAGATCCTACTGGGACTTCAGAGCACTGAGCTGGAAAAATACAGCTTCTTTGAAAGAATGATAGCTCTCCGTTTTCCAGTTACAGTTTAGTTGATAACAGTGATGCATAAGGATTTTTCCCTGTAGAAAAATAAGCTTTTCAGATAAAAAGGTCTCCTTTCATCCACATTTTAAAATCTTAAGCAAGTCCCAAATTTCCTCCATTATATTTCTAAGTAGAATTTTTACTTTGAATTTACATGCATGGAAATGCACCCATAGAAAATATACAGAGTCACTGTGAGTATAGAGGTGTGTAGTGTTAGTACATAAAGGCATTCTACCCAGAATGCTTTGTGATTTTCCTTGTCTGGTGCAAAATGAATTTGGAAAAAGTCTGTGTTATTACATATGTACTTAAGTCACATTTGAAAGTACCATATATAACCTATACTATGGCCGTATTTGTGTTTATGTGTCCAATCTCCCTACTGATAAATATGTAAACGATTTCAAAGATCCTGCTTATAGACAATGCATACTTGTATTTATTATTTCCTAGCCCTGACTTTTAAAATCTCTTATGATTTGATAATATTGTTGAAATGTTGGGGACCTATGAAATGAAGTAATTATTTTTATGCAGTATATGACTATCCCTCAAAATTGTTCAAACAATTTCTTTAATTCTGATTCTTCTTGTAATTAGCAAAATATGCTTCTTTGGAGCTCTTGAAACCTTGAGCTTTTAGGGTGAGTTTTCTTTATACTTTTGCTTGCTTCACAATAATCTTTGTTCTAGTTGTGCTGTTCAAACAGACAGGAAGAATGCTCTTGGATAGACAAAGTCCATGCCTGTCTCTACTATGACCTGTCAGAGCTTTATGCAGGATAGAGTGGGGTAAGACTTCCTTTGGGATGATGGAGTGATACATCTTTTCTTTTTAGATATTATTACACCCAGTTATTTGTGATACCACAATCTGGAAAAAAATCCCTCAAGAGTAATAAGAGCTAACGTCTCATTCACAGCTGAGTGATTCATCCGTAAGTACTCATTCACAGCACAGGAAGGAGTCAGAATGAAAAGGGTTTTTTTTCTTCTTTTTCTTTTTTTTGATAGGATTACTTTTGTGGCAAGGTAAGATTGCCCTGATATTTGATCTTAGGAAATAAAAGGCCTGTATTTATTTATTGTTTTAGATCTTAATGAAAGAGCAAGCACAGAATATGTATGATGTGACTTCAGTTGGAATCAGAAAAATGCAAAAACCACTGTTCAGATTATTGTGTTGTTCTTGCAAAGAGAACCCTTTGTGCCATTCAGCTAGCTGCCCTTGATGTAACAGGCAGGCTTTGTTTTGGAACAGAGGACAGATATTAAAGGTTTCGTGTTTTGGGGCCAAGAAGTCTTCACAATAACTTGTCTCATCACATCATTTTTACATTCTTGAAAAGCAACCTAATTTTGTTGAGCTTTTCAGCAATACTGATGCAGGCAGATTACGGACACTGTAGATGAGCTTGAGTGGCGACTTCTCTTTCTGTGACTAAAACACATCTGAGATATGCTTTTAAATCTACTTCTTCCTCATTGAATTATTCTGCTTTCTATGAGAAATAATGTATGTAGAAAGAGGTAAATATTCACACTTGATGGAAGGTTGCCTTAGGAATTTTGAAGTGTGTTGAGAAATTTCACACCTCTTATTCTTGCCGTTTGGCCATAATGGGGCTGTAAGCTGAGATCTCACTAGTTGCACACAGCTTCTGTTAGCCACCCAGAGTTGATCTTTTCCTCTTGTGGTTCCCTGAAGAAGGCCTCTGATTCATTTGTAGCAGCAGGGTTGACAGGCTATATCTATATTTAAAAAGGCTGTTTTGCTTGTCAGTTCCCCATGAGAATTGGCATCCTTGCCTGACCTGTTTTCAGATGTCAGTTCTTATTTCCGTGTAGTTTCAAACCCTGTATTCCACGAACCTGCTTGATCATTACAATCATCTGAAAAACTGAATATTATGGTCAGACAAGTTTAAAAAGCTTGTTTAAGGTCTTGGCCTGGTCCAATAGAACTGTCTCAGGGTTGACTTGTTGAGTCTTCTCAAGGTCCGAAGGTTCAAAGTGGCATCCAGCTCTTGCTCTGGGCAGTGAGAGAGCTAAAACAACAAAGAAGTTAGGAGGTAAGCATTCCCTTTCCAGTGATCAGGAGAGGCTCAGTAAGTGCTGTGAGATTATAATAATATTTATTTCTTGATTCGACAATGATAGAATGCCTAACCTGTGCCAAACATTTGTGCTAGGTGCTGTGAAAGAGGCAAGTAACCTTCAATGAAGTGCGTAGGAAGGGATTGATAGCGAGCTCACTGCTTCACATAACTTTTCTTGTTTAAACCTCACCACTGTCCGGTGAGGTAGGTGTTGTAAGTTCATTTTAAAATGAGGAGACTGTAGTTTCCAAAGCTTACTTGACTTGTTCCAGCTCATGGATCTAGCAACAGGGTGATGCAAGATTGAAACCAAGTCGTCTTCTGCTTTACCACAATGTCAACATTTTCTCACATTGCTTTCTTTTGCTTCAAACACAAGTTCTCAGGTCTGGCTGTGTAATAAAATCACTCTGAGAGCTTTTAAAATGTATTCTTGCTTGAGCTTTACTCCAGATTAAAAAATAGCATTTGATGGGGCCCAGGCATGAACATTTTAAAATCTTGAGGTGCACTCATTCTGCTAGCCTAACAGTATCCAGCCTATTTCTTGGGCTTTGGAACTGATTACATCTTTAAAGACTCCAGCTTATTTCCCCCCCGCAACTTAACACAAATTGAAATTTATTAAAATATACTTTATACTTTTATAATGCAAAAGAGACATGGACATGATAAAAGATTCATTTAGCTAGGAATTTAGAAACTTAGAGATCAAATTCCATGGAATGTTTTGTCCACAGTGCACATAAGGAATCACCCAAGGTCTAGAGCATCCCTGAGCATCCCTCAGCTGTTCTGCTGAGACTCTGAGACCCTGAAGACAATTTATTCTAATTCAATGGGGGAGGAAAACTTGGTGTATATGGTGGTTCTTGAAAGTTTCCCTTATCCTTGGTGAACAGAGACAACAGATTGACTTTTTTCCCTAAATCAAAAGTAAAATAAAAGCTAAGTAGTTTGGGTCTTTTTAACTTTGATGTATTGGTATATGTAAGATAAATTTTATTTTGATTGCTTTAAGAAAAACGTTAAAAAGTGGAATAAGCGTTGACTAAATGTCTTCACACTGTTTTGAAAACTTAACGGCTCAAACAAGTATGTATACCTATGTAAAGTTTCTAAGTTAAGAATTCTGCATTTCAGGCTCTCAACCCTTGGTCAAACATCTAAAATATGGTCAGTAATATTGTGCCTTTGTGAAGTTGCAGTCTAATTAAGTTTTGATTCTGAAAATTAAGCTTGATATTGCCTTGTCTTCAACCAGCAAGTTGTGACTGTTCTCTGAAAGTAAAAGTGTTCTTCACTAAGTGTCTGTATCAGATACTAAGAGTAAATGGTTAATGCGAAGTAATCACATAGTTGTGGTCCATAAAATTCTTGGGGAAAATAAATTTAAGAGTCACTGTATTTCAACAAGTTTGAGGCACTTGTTGAAAAGAAAAATGGGAAAGACAAATCAAGTTTATTAGGGGAGGGAGCATTTGAACTAATGTTTTATTATTAGATGGAGAGAGAAAAAACAGTGATTTCCAACCTACAATTCTAAGTCACTTTAAGGTCGATAAGATAGCTGGATTGTGACTTTCCACTGTGGTCAAGAGTCATGGTATGCAAATTACTAGAACAGACCATTTAAAAAATGTAAGTGAACAAAAGAAAAAAGAAAAACATGAAAAATGGCCTCCTTTTTTACATTTCCACATAGGTGATCTCCATACCCGGAGATGAACTTGAACTTGGTTGGGCGGGAGACGAACCTGGTTGGGCGGGAGACTGGAGCCCCTCAGAGAATTTGGGATTCTTCCATTTTTACTGGGAGGGTTGGCAGGTATAACATGTGTTGTTATGTGAGTCCACGAGAGCCTCTAGGCCCCAACTCCCTGCCCTCCGTGTGGTGGGGTCAGTCGCTCACTCTGAAGCACTCGACTGGTTTCTGTCTGTGGCTTACCCATGAGCAGTGGCTTGGAAGTGTCAAAGCATGAGAAGCATGCAGTCAACAGCATGTGCTGCCGTCCCCTCCACATGGCTCTGCATGGACACACCCGGACTGTTGCCTGCGAGCTCAGTGTTTCCTTCTCCCCCTACAGAGTTCCCTGAAGGCTTCTAACCGGAAGAAGAAGAGAACAAGTTTTAAAAGAAAGGCCAGTAAAAGAGGAACTGAAGTAAGTAGCTCCAAGTCTCCCACCCAGCCAGGTCTGTCTCCTTTTTCTAGCTGAAAATGTCTTAGTTTTGTATTTCTCTCTACTTTTTGCTTCCTTTTCTTGTTCCCTGAACTCTTAACTGTAAGGGAATATTTTCTGTGCTAAATAAATACATAAATGAAGAAAGTGGATCTACCGTTTATCACTTGAGTCAGAGCATTTACATTTGCCTGTAAGTGTCATCAGATCAATGCTGAGGAGGAAGAGAATGAAGGCAAATACAGAACAGTTAACATTTCAAGGCTTCTTAGATCACACAGAGGACAATTAAAAAGGATGGTTGAATTCTCTGTATGAAATGACAATTGAGATACTTTTTCCAACCTTGCTGTGGATGATCATGCAGAGGGTGGGCTGGTCAACCAAGAGGGAGAGCCGTTGGTGTGAGGCAATCGTGGTGGTTCTTAGCCCTCTACTTTGAGATGACTATCACCTTGTGAATATGTATGCTCAAAGAACTACTTGCTTCTCCCAGCAGGAAAACAAAGGCCGTCCTTTTGTGATAAAGCCCATCTCTTCACCTCTCATGAAACCTTTGCTTGTATTTGTGAACCCCAAGAGTGGAGGCAACCAGGTAAGTCATTTCTCATGAGTTCAGCTTAGATCATTTGATGATTTCTTGAAACCACAATTCACAGCACCAATAGAAATAGCATCACTAAGGCCCTCCCCGCCCCAGTGGCAGACAACTGGTTTCTCAGGAGGTCACTGTTACTCCACTGGGGTTCAGTGATTCACCCATCTACTTCTGTAAATGACTACAGCAGAGATCCTCCAGAAACCACGCTGCTGACATTTTCCTTACAGATACACAGGAAAGATCATTCCAGAATTTCTCCTTGGTACTGTTTTTCTTACTCCTTACAGTTAGAAAGCTGTCTCCAAACTTATCTTTACTTCCCTTTATTGTAATTTAGTCCCTGTCCTCAGATAAAATGGAGAGAGCAAAGATTTCACTTGGTCCCTGTACAAATCCTTTAGTATAGTTTAATGTATGTCTTGCTTGGGAATAAACAGATGACGTTACAAAAGTCAGTTTAGTAATATGCCTAAGGTACCAACAGCGTCTGAGAAACAACTTGTTCTCGAATCCAAGTCTTTGTCTCTATAGCCAGTTCTCTTTTCTCTCTGAGAATTCTTATCTGTGGTTTCATGAGACTTTAGCTTTCAGTTATTTTCATGAATTTGGATAATATATGTATATGATATATATTCATATTATTTGTCTATTAAGTGTACAGTTTATATTTTAAATTAAGATTCTTCGAAGTTTCCCAATAAAAACTGAACAACAGAGGCAGAAAGAAGATTGATTCAATAGTCCAAATGATATTATTATTAAAGATAGTAGGCATATTCCAAAGTGCACTAATTACAACGAAACTTCTCTTAAAAGAACTTATGATTTTAAGGAAATATTCCCATTTCTTCTTTTTTTAAAATGAATAACCTGCTATATTAAAATAAGTATCAGCATTGTGGAGAATAGGGAAAGAAATGTGCTGCAAGGATACTAAATTTTTAATATCCTGCATTTTTCAATTGCTTAGTAATGTTCATTATTATTGTAATGATGGCGGTTTTACAAGTGTCAATAGAAGGCGGCTTAGGAATGGGAGTGTGCTTTCTAAGGAGTGTGGTTCAATTTGTCATAAACTATACCCATTCATGGGCTGGACTCCTTCTAGCATATCAAAAATTAGGGACATGGCTGTAAACCATAGAAGTGAAAGCAATTGGGCCTGATTTGGGTTTCCTGAGCATCTCATTCTAATTAGTGTCACACATATTTTATCTCAGCAGTGATACATTTACTAAATCATTCTGAGCTTTTTTTTAAAGCACATAGAAGCTTGTAAGCTTGCCTTTATGGAGTTGGCAGTCCAGTTAAGATGTAGCTTGCTCCTATTCCAATCTCTATAAATTATTAATGGCAGGGACTTTAGAGACGTCTAGTATTGCTTACTATTTCACTAAATAAAATTCAGGTCAAGGAAGTTTAAGTGAATTTGTGAGAACATTGTGTTGGTCAGTGACACAAAAGGCAAATGGAAAAATGTAAGTCAAATAGAGTGTTTTGTGTGTGAACTCTGAATGGACTGAATGAGAACGGAAGTGTTATGCAGTTACAGAGGCAAGCTGTGACTTTGAATGACAAGGAAATTATGGCATGGAAGTAGCTGAAAGCAAGAACGACACTACTAAGTTACATGGGGAAGAGAAGTCTGTACCTAAACCCTAACCCAATACAAACACTAATCTTAACCCAAACCCTAACCCGCATTTTAACACTAGCCCAATCCCTAACCCTAACCCTAACCCTAACCCTTCTTTCTAAGGTGGCAAATTTCTGCTCATCGTTCTAGGTCAACAGTACCTTTCTGAACCATTCCTCAAAATGAATCACTGATCCCTATACTCTAGTAGTCCCTGGGACACACTTGTACTATGTGAATTGTAACAAAATTCTCACTGTGTCTGTATAATGAAGATACAAGCTTCATAATTCCAGGATGTATACCTTTGAATCTTTGATTTCTAGTACATGACACAAAGTAAACAAATAATGAAGCAGTAATCAATGTAAAAAGAACAGATGTGAAAAAACTCATTTCAAGTAGAGCATACCTATTAAAGTTATTGGCAGTATGACTAAGTGAAGATTAGTATCGGCCTGTAGAAAAGTATCTTAAAAATTTGGCAGAGGATTCTAGATTTATGCAATGGAATTTAGGTTTATGCTACTTAACATAATTTATGTTTTATATTTCTTAGTTCTTGAACAGAAGTAAAGTAATTAAATTTAATGTGCAAAAGTTGTTCTTATAGATCTTGTTGAAGTGGAGATTCTACTTCAGTAAGTCAGAGTGACTAAGTCTCCTGGTTAGAATCTCTGTCCTTCTGTTGGTCTGTCTGTCTATCTGTTGGTCTGTCTGTCTATGTCTCTCTTTCCTCCTCTTTTCTTCTCCTCCTCCTCCTTCTTCTTTTCCCCCTCTTCTTCTTTTTCTATTTCCTCCTCTTCCTCCCTCTTTCTCTTCCTTCTCCCTTTCCTCTTTCCCCTCCTCCCTCTACTCTTCTTTCTCCTCTTCTTCCTCCTCTTCTTCCTCCTTCTCCTCCTCTTGCTCCTCTTTCTTTTCCATGGTATTAGAGATTGAACCCAGGGCTTTACTACTGAGTTATATCCCCACTCCATTTATTATTATTTTTTGAAACAGGATCTCTCTAAATTCCTAAGTTGCACAGACTGGTATGTGTCACTGTTGCCATGGTATAAATTCAGCACCATAATGCAGTCTGTTGTGTATGATGAGCAGTGAACTGCAAGCAACTTGATTGCAAGTGGAAAAAGCAGCTATGTTTACTGAAGGTCGCAGGAAGTTGTGTTCAGAGAAGTCCATGCTGACAAAAATATGCAGGAACAGAAAAGTGGTGCTGGGGTGACAAGAAGGGAAAAGCACTGCACTGAAGTCACAGTACACTGCAGCAGTCTCCAGATAAATAGTATCTGGAGTTTAAAGGACATGCCCCTCAACCCTGAGTCTTTAGGTGTGCTTGACAGGAATGACTGACAGGGTGTGGAGTTATCTCAGGAGCTCTTAATAGGCATGCCACTCTGATCTTAATTACATGGGTAAGATGTGGTGGCTATTCATCAACTGTTAATAAGTTCAGAGTTGTGTGCAGGGGACTGAAGGTCAGGCTAGGAGATGCAACTCTAGCCTAGAGAGTCAGAGATTACCTAGATTTTTGTTCTGTGATTTTCTAACTCTCCAAGACAATGGAAAGAGGCCCTAGGGTGTTGTTTAAATTTAGTGGTTAGAAGGAAGTGACTTTCTCAGTTCCACTGTTTTAACCAAACAACCACCACACCAGACTTGCATTTCTAAAGGTTCCCAGGTACTATTACTTCCTTAGAAGACAGACCATTCTCAATTGGTAAGATCTTCCTATAATAATAGAAAATAGAGAAAATTAATTTTTGTTTGTATCCTGATTTTTGTCTTTTAACAATTTTCTTATTTTTATTTGCTTTCAGATGTAAAGCACCTCCATTTAGTCCCTTCTCTGAAACTTAGGCTTCCAATTTGCTTTTTACAAACTCTTTAGTCTTCTGCAAAATAACTAGTAGACAATATTGCCATCTACTGGCAAGAAAAATACCTGCAGTTTTTCTCTTCCTGCACTATTTTAAGTGTGTGAAGGGAAAATTTCCACATTCTAAATACATTGGAGCAAAATATTTCTGTATTCTTTAAAATATTTGTTCTTCATAGTTCTTTCTTTAAACTTCCCAATATACCCAATAATTCTCTCTGTTTTTTCTTGAACTGTCAAGAAAATGATGACAGTGGTATTTTGTGAAGTTCGAGCTGGGGGTGCTTCTGTTACTCTTGGGATCTGATTTATTTAAGGAAATGGGTACTGGGATCAAGGACTGAAGTATCAGCTTCTTCCTGTGGAGAAGAGGTCATAGGTGGAAGATATTGTTTACCCCAAACAAGTTCCCTTCTCTGTATACAGACTTTCAAGGACTAGAGAAATACTACCCACATACTTCTGTCTGCTTTTGTTTCAAAACTGTTTATTCATTTTGGTCTCCTAGACCTTTCTGAATCTAGGAGACTCTTCTGGTCTCACTCAGTATTCCCTACTTTGCTTTGTCTGTCTCTCATGTTCTCTCAGCTTTCTTCCCCATCAGTTGCATGACAAATGCAGTGATAAGCAGGTGTTAGGACCACTACCTGCACAATGTGAGGTAGGTTCCTATATCCAGGAACCCTTGTTCTGATCAGTGGGGCACCCTGGGAGTGGGAGGTGCCCGGCCAGTGGACTGACTTGCACTGGTGCAGCTCATACCACCTACCATCTCTGAACGGGCTTCACCAAATAGGGACATGTTCCCAAGTAAGGTGTCAGTCACACCAAGTGGGAAGAAGAGGAAGATTAAAACATAGATAACTTCAAATGAGAAGTTTAACTTGAACAAACGACCACAATGGAGAAGTTATTCCTGTAATGCTGTAGACTTTTCAGATTGGGAATAGATGCAAAAGATCATTGTTTCGATAAAAATTTAGGCTTCTAAAATTTAGAGTAGTCTGGAAAGAGACTAAAGGAGTAGTCACCAGAGGGAAGCACATGTCAAAATCTAATCTCAAGACTTTGGTTAAATTAGGTTCCACAGATGGGGTTAAATCATGAATTTGGGCTGTATAAAGATCTTTTTTTCTAAGTTGTAATATTGGTGGGAGATGGGGACAGCTAAGACACACATCAAACCACCTAGCTCCTTTTGTAAGAGTGGGGCCCTCATATTTGTAGATAGAATAGTGGCACACAAAAATGGTAGTCTGCCAGGTGCAGTGCTACTTGTCTATTGTCCCAGCTCTTCTGGAAGCCGAGGCAGGACGATTGGGAGTTTGAGCCCAATCTGGGAAAATTAATGAAAGACCTATCTCAATAAATAAATAAATAAACATGCCAAGGATGTAGCTCAATGATATAGTGCCTACTTAGGGGACCCAAGACATTGTGTTTAATCCCCAGCACAGGGGGAAAAAAAAATGAAGTCTGTCTGAGTCTCTTGGTTAAAACATTTCAGGGACATTTTGTTTCCTACAAGCTAAAATGTTTCCACGTTCAGCTCATTTCAGTTGCTTTGTCCCCAGCACACACTCTGGCTCCCAATTCCTAACACTTGTACAGTTTCTTGTATCTTGTGCCTTTGCTCTGGAAGTTCTTCCTCTACTTCCTGTGGAAAGTGATGTTTAATGCTACTTATCTTTAAGATACAGAATGTAGGAGGTAAGCATGGTGGTGCATGTCTGTATTTCCAACACTGGGAATCTGAGGCAGGAGGATAAAAAACCTATCCCAGTTTGGGAAAATAATTGATTTAGCAAGGTTCTGTCTCAAAATAAAAATTTAAAAAGTTCTGGCAATGTAACTTAGTGCAGAGACCCTGGGTTTAACACTTAGTACTAAATAAATAAATAAATAAATGAAAGGCACAATGCAGATATCATTACTAGGGTGCCTTCATTTCCTCCCCAAACTTGGGCTTAGATAACATGTCCTCAGAGTATACTTGCCTGTCACTGGGCATCTCCGTCATAGGATTTTCCATCTTCAGTGAATTAGTTCATTAAGCATTGATCTCCTAGGATAGATGTTGAGCTCCTAAGATGTGTGTACAGAATTGGAACCTACTACATAATTAATGAATAAATACATAATGGGTGGTTTTGCCATTGTGCATTAGTTTATAAAATAATTACACTTTTCCTCCCACTAGCTTTTATTTTCCTTGAGCTTTATTACTGCCTGGCAGTTTTTCCATAGCTTGTTAATACGTACACATGAACTGAACTTAGTGATACAGGAAAAGATTCCAGGAGAGCTTTGATGAAGATCAATGTGGTTTGAGCTAACGTATTCTTGCTCACTTCTCCACAGTACCAATCACTTTTCTCACATTTTTCTTTATGAATCATGACTACAACTCCTTTCTAAGAGGACGATGCTCTCTGGTTTGTTTCTCCATTCACATCTACTTAAACTTCCAGGCTTATAGGAGCAGAATGAATAGATTTTGTTCATTCCCTAGCACTATATATAAAGAGGGGGGATTGCATTTACCAGTAGCACCCCATCTTCAGTATCCACAGCTGGAAAGAATATTTTTTTCCACTCTATACGAATGGAAAATTGCATAATATTTTAAAAAGCTTCATGGGTGGGGAGGTATCTATAGCATGTGTTGAAAGGCACAGGTAAACTGCTTTTCTATTTAGAGGTATCAAAGTTGTAGATTTTGAACTGGGCGTGTTGGTTCATGCCTGTAATCCCAGCACTCAAGAGGCTGAGACAGATTTTTATGAATTTGAAGCCAGCTTGAACTACACAGCAAGACTGGATTTCAAGAAACAAAAATGAACATAAAAAATTGCAGCTTTGATGTTTGACACTTAGAATGTGACAATGCTGAGAGTGCTTGAGACTTGCTAATGAGTGACAGTTGTGTAAATGAGTGAATTTAATTCTGCCATTGAAGAAGAAGCAAATTACTCTTTTTCTAGTGAATTAGCACCTGTCAGACCATTCAGTTCTGTTTAATAAATTATCTCCATTAGAGCTCTAAAGTAGCTTATCCTCAAAGTAGCAGCGGAGTTAATGGAGCTCACTTAAATGTGCGAGTTAGACCTTTTTTCTCTGCCAGGTAGGATTGATTTAAAAAAAAAAAATACTTTCATTCAATCCTTAGTTTTTTAAATGAATATCACATTTACAAAAGAAGATTACATTTTAAAAGAAAGTAATTCTATCATGCCTGAATGTCAATGGTGGTAGAGTAGCTGTGCATGGTTGCACGGGTTATTGGAGAACGAGTCTGGGGGTGGCACTGCAGTAGACTGCAGTGGGGTATGCTATGGAAGGGTGTACTGGGCCCTTCCTGATATGATGCCTTGAGGTAATTAAGTGTTCCAGCTAAATCCAGCTGAAAATGAGCAAAATGGAAACTGCAGTTTCTCATATTTTTTAAGAGAAATTTTAAGAAAAATAACCTTGCATTGATTTTTGTTTTTTGAAAAGTGTTAATTACCTCATACTGCATGCTTAATGTGAGACACTGAAATTGAGATGTGCACTGTACCATAGCAAAGGTGAAAAGGAGTAATTAACATCAACAATCCACAGTGCTGCACAAATCTAAAACTGAAAAAATAATATTCTAAGAAGCCAGTTGGAAATGTTCTTTAAATTGGTTGGTCTTTAAAAAGATTCTTATGTTAACAACTTAACAAAAAAAGATGATTGAAATAATCTTGAACACAGTTGATAGGAAAGCCTAGCATGGAAGAAGAAAATGACCTAGTATTTAGTAGTATTATGCCTCTAAATCTATGCTTGTACTTAATAGGAAGCAAAATATGTCATTTGGTAAAACTAAAGGATTAGTTGTAATAATTAAGGATCAACTGTTATTCCCAAATTAAGCAAGAACATGATATGGCAGAACTTTTAAATTACAGGTCTGGATGAGATGTAGAAGACTTACGTTGGCCTCTGTAACAACTGGCATAATCATGTGTTAATCACAGATTACATCTTGGCCTTCATACTATCAAGTGTAATTTAATGAATAGATTAACAAAAGAGAGGAAAGAAAAGGACTAATATTTACAAAGGCCTACTTTGTGCCACATGCTGTGCTGGAAATAATTGCTGATTCCCTTACTTCACATAATCACCCTGAAAGGTAGGCACCCTTTCTGGTTTATGTACTGCATTTCTCAAAGATGATGAGTGCTCATGATTACTAAGTTAAGAGTATCCAAGTTAGTCCTGACTCAAAGCTCGAGCTGTTTCTACTATACTAGAATGACCTTTAAGTACAGCACGTTAGTTATACAAACAAGGATATTTGAGGAAAGAGTGATCATGATATCTACTAAAGGAATAATATTATAAGCAACAAATTCTGCCTAACTGACCACATCTTCTTTGCTGTGGTTGATAAACTGAGGCATCTTACTCATTTTTAAAGCTTTATTGGTTCTGATTAATGAGAAGACCCTTAATCATTTCTTTTTGTTCTATCAATTTAAAGAAATGACACTCAAAGCAACCATTTGTCTGTCATAATGATCATCTCTGTAAATATTACAGTTAATTTAAAACACTCCAAAAAACATGTTTATGTCAGGGAAAAGGGTTAGTTTAAACTGTCATAGACATGAAGTCAGTGTCAAAGTAAGCTGTGATATAACGTAGTAGTAACTTTTAAAACTTTAGTATGTAAAATCTATATACTCTAGTTATACTTTTGCTTTAGTTAGATAAATTATTTCACTGAAACAATACTTAGCTAATACTGCATATATATTAGGTAGGGATGATGATAATTTGCACAATAAGTTTAAAAATTAATGTTAAGTTTGCATACACTGTAATTTCCCGTATGGATTTTCACATATTTAGTAATGATGGAAAAAATGTATTTGTGAGTAAATATTATTCATGAAGCATACATTGCATGTTGAAACTATGATGTGTTCCTCAAATATTATTGCATTTAATGCTTATATGAATTTTGTGAACTAGGCATCTTTTTTTTATATGTTAAAAAGAAGGAAACTAAACTTAATGAAATTAAGAAACTCATCCAGTGTTATAATTACACAAACATCCCACCTGGGCATTCACCCTATACATAGCTATGACAAAATTATTGTAACTTGGATTTTAACTTTTTTTATATACCACATATAACTCTTTTTTTTTTTTTTCATTTTTATCAGTACCAGGGATCGAACTCACGACTGTACACTTGCAAGGCAGGCGCTTCTGCCACTGAGCTAAATCCCCAGCCCCATCCATATATAACTCTTGTTTTGGATTAAGTGATTCGTTTTTGTTTGTTAATAGTCGGGAATTTATACTATTATTGTCAATGTTTTTTCCCTTTACAGGGAACCAAAGTCCTGCAGATGTTCATGTGGTATCTGAATCCACGGCAAGTCTTTGATCTCTCTCAGGAAGGGCCAAAAGATGCGTAAGTCTGGAAATTCTCTACATAGTTCACATGATTTTTAGGGAAGTGAGAACTTTCTAATTTGAGGTCAAACTCCATTATCTGATTATCTTGTGAAATATTTTTTGACCAGCCTTATTTTCTCTTTGACTTATAATTCCTGCGCTTTAAAACGTGATCTGATATTCCTTACTACTGGTCTTTGAGTTAATTTGCTTTCAAACTTACCTTCATAATTGTTGACTCAATTAGCAGCTGTTGGGAATGTAGGTCTAACTCTGGGGAGCACAGCCATATACATTTATTAACATTTCTGTGTGTGTGTGTGTGTGTGTGTGTGTGTGAGAGAGAGAGAGAGAGAGAGAGAGAGAGAGAGAGAGAGAATATTAATTTGTTATACCTATGAACTCCCTCAACTAGTTTGGGGGAAACATTTGAATTCCTGATCAGTCTCTTTTCTGAGCTTTTCAGAATCTTATTCTTTGATTTTGTTAGATGTTTTGAAATTAAGTCTAGACAGAAGTGGCCCTACATAGTGGGAAAGAGTAGAGAGATTTTTCTCTGTTCTCTGAGTCTCTATTCTAAATCTATCAACTAAGTTAGCTCTGATGTTATTTGATGAACATTAGACTATAAAGGATACCAGTTATTTATTATTTTGTTTGGGGGTGAATAGAAATATTGTTACTGCATAAAATGGGAAATTTTATCTTTTGAGTATGCAGGAAAACATGAACTATAAAAGTTAGGTTTACTGTCATAATCTATTAATTCTTCTGCCACTGGAGTTTGTTGTAAAACTTCTACATGTCTTCTGTATTTGGCTGTATTAAAGCAAACCTGTTATCCTGGCTTATGTCCTTTTGGATGTTACCTTTTTAGATTTCTTCACTTGAGTTAGATAGATGTTTCATAAGTCACCATAAAGTACCTAATGGGAGAGAAAGTATTTTCAGAAAAATGTTAGTTGATTTCAGTAGGCACTAATTTTTAGAGTAGAGCCATTAATAGCTCCTGTTAAGCAAAAGATTGATAAGGGGCAACATCCCTTCATACTGAAATATAAAATGATAGAACTCCAGTAGATAAATTCAGAATTAAAAAGAAAATGCTAAATTTCCCCTACTTTTGACTGGGATGTAAGTAAAATTATGAAGGTGAGTGGAAGGACAGACTTTTAGGTGTAGTAGTAACGATTAGGGGAAAATCCTGTCCTCTTTTAAAATTTTGTTTCGTGACATTAAGAGTGGGAAATACGGATTTGAAACAATAGATCCAGGGAAAGCTAATATGACATAAAGAAGAGACGTACATGGACTATTAATTACTAATTAAAGATGATTTTCTTTAAGAAATGAGAAGGAAAAATGGGAAAAGAAAAAGAAGAGGAATAAAAACAAGCTAAAAAAAAGATGAATATATTGACATGATAGTGGGAAGAATGAGGATTAAGCTCTGAAATATCCCCAAATTATTTTACTGTGAACCATTTAAAATGTAGTGTTTGTTCCCTAGGCCAGATCCAGTAGTTGGAATTGGTCCACTTGTGGGTGCTTGTTTCCATGCTGTTATCATTCTTACGATTATCTCTCTTCTCCAGTGGATTCCACTTTATCTGTTTTATCCTGTGTTCTCTCTCTCTGCTGTAGGCAATAATTATGATCTCTTATTTATTTTTTCTTCTATCTTCTGTAGTCTCGAGTTGTATCGGAAAGTGCCAAACCTGAGAATTCTCGCCTGTGGTGGGGATGGAACGGTAGGTTCTTGAAAGAGAGTCTAGTTCTTTTTCTAGTTCCTTTTGTCTTTCTTACTGTTTTCCTTATGATGGTATTGTTTTTTATCCTCAATCTTTCCATTCCCCTAAAATTAATGTCTGTTCTCTGTGACTCATATCCCTTAAGATTTAGAAGGTACTGTATTGGCCTTACGGATCTGTACTTGATCTTTTTAAAATATACTTCTCTCCTGAAATTACTGTACAATATATCCTTTTCTGTTCTGCAAAGTAAAGATGTGTTCATATTATTGAAATGAAGGTTACAGATGACTAAATTATTTTAAAATGTAAACTAGTATTTCCACCTCTTTTTAATATTTATTATTTATTAAATTTGTCTTTTAAATTGATACATAAAACATAAGAATTATACATATTATTCAAGTATCATATAGTGTTTTGATACATATAAACAATGTGTAATGTTGAAATCAGGTAAATAATTATTACCTTAAATATTATTTCTTTTTTTTTACATTTTATTTTAAAGAGAAAAAGCCCAAAATTTCAAAACAGGGTAATAGGAGGGTAACGATGATTAATACATTGTGTATTGTTGTCTTTAAATTAGTTGCTCAGAGTACAAGATATCAGAACTTAATTGTCCAAACTATATTAGCACAAACCTTTCTTTTCAATGAACTAAGGGAAATTAGTGGTATAACTATCTTAACTAATATACTTTATATTTATATTTATTCTTGTCTTTTGCTTTCCCCTTCTTTCTTTTCTCCATTCCCCTATCCCAGTTTCTCTGCATTTTACAATATCATTGTACATCTTGGATTTTATTTACTCTTTCAGCTTCTTACACTGGAGAGACAATGCAGTGTGCATACATGTGTGTCTGTTTTATATCATTTACAAGTATGGTCTCAAGTTGCATCTTCAGTTTATCCTTCTTGTGGTTGTGATGTACTCCATTCTATAAAAAGATCCCTTTTTTTTTCCCATTCCGTGATTGATGGGCAGTTGGGTTGTTTCTAAGATCTAGCTATTACAAATCACGCTGCTATAAACATGGTGTATATGTGTTGCTGTGGTACTTAAACATTACTTCTTTTTTATTTTTTTGATAAACATTATTTCTGTATGGTGAAAACATTCAAAATTTTTTCTTGTGACTGCAATATACACTATTCTTGAATGCTTATGTTTATAATTCCCTGCTATGCACACAAGAGCACCTTCCTTCTGTGTAACTGTAACTTAACACTTATTGGTCATCCTCACCTCTCCCCATCCATCTTTCCCTAATCTCTGAAGGTAATCACCATTCTACCTTCAGATTCTATGAAATCAACTGATGTGATTTCACACATGAGTTGAGATCATTTGGTACTGATGTGATTTCACACATGAGTTGAGATCATAGGGTCTTAGCTTATTTTGCTTAACATAATGAGCTTCAGTTCCATCTGTGTTGCTACAAATGATAATTTCATTTTTTAAAAAAAATTATATTTTATTTTAAAGAGAAAAGAATCCAAAACACAATAATTAGGGAATAGCAATAGTATATATATTGTGTAACATTTCATGTTTTTAATGTCCCAGAAGTAATCCATTGTGTATATTTGCTATATTTTCTTTATCCTTTCATCAGTTGGTGGACACTTGGTTTGCTTCAGTCTTTTGCCTATTATGAGTAGTGTGGCAGTGAACCCAGGAATTCAGGTGTCTCTTGGCCATGGTGATTTCATTTCTTTTCAGTGTATTCCCAGTAGGGGGACTGCTGGGTCATGTGATGGTTTTAAATTTAGGGGGGAACATTCATACTCTTTTTGGCTATAATAATTTTTATTTCAGCCAATGATGTGCTACAATTTCTTTTCTACACCTTTATAAGCCATGTTATTGTTAGTCATTTTGATAACAGCCATTCTTACTGTGATAAGGTGCCATGCTGTTGTGAGTTTTATTTGTATGTCCTTGATAACTAATTATGATGAGCATTTTAAAAAACGCACAGTGGGCTTTTATATGCTTTCTTTCGAGACATTTCTATTTAGGCCTATTCCCCACTTTTTAATTGAGTTGTTTGTTTTCTTTGTATATTGTGAGTACCAACTACAGTCAGATTTATAGTTTGTACAGATTTTCTTCTATCCTATAGGCTATCTTTTTACTTTGATGATCGGTTCATTGCTGTGTAGAAGCTTTTTGGTTTCATGTAGAGCAATTGATGCTTTTGCTTTTGTTTCCTTTCTCTAGAAACTCCTTTCTCTTCCCATTTCCTGAACAATTTTCTCTGTATTTTCTTACAGTAGTTTCATAGTTTAAATTCTTACCTATAAGTCTTTTGTCCATTTAGAGGTGAATTTTGTAGCTATAATAGAGCTCTCTTTTCACTCTCCTGTATACAGATACTTTGTTTCCTCAGCCCCATTTACTAATGGGTTAATACTTTCACCAGTGCATGTTCATAGAACTTTATTTGGAAGCTTATTTACTTAAAGGTGTTTAATCTAGGCTGCATTCTATTCTCTTGTTCTGTGTTTCTGTTTTTATGCCATTAACATATTGTTTTGATAATGACTGATTTGTAATATAGAGTCAGGTATATTATGCTTCTTGCTCTAAGCTTTTTGTACAAGATGTCTTTGACTATTTGTACTTTTTTATGATTCCATACAAATATTAGGTTTGTTTCTTCTACCTTTGTGAAGAATGTAATTGGTGTTTTGACAAAGATTAAATAGGATGTGTTTCCATTTATTTTGTGCTCAATTCCTTTCATCAGTATTTTATAGTTTTCCTTGTAGAGATCTGTCACTTTTTTGATTAAATTTATTCTTAGGTATTTTGTTTTCTTTGTAGCTATTACACATGTAATTATTTTTTAATTTATATTTCAGAAAATTAGTTTTTGATGTACAACAATGGTACAGATTTTGTATGTTGATTTTTATATTCTGAAACTTTGCTAACTTTGATTATTAATTATAATGATTTTTAATGAAAGCTATAGGGTTTTCTGTGTGTATTACCATGTCATACATGTAGAGTGACCTCTGGTCACCCTTTCTCATCACTGGTTGTCTCTTGTTTGTGTACTTACTGTGATGTGCATGTGGTGTTTGCCCCTCATTTTGTTGATGTGATAGGCCACATTTTAAAATTTGGATATGCCAGAACATCCTCATATCCCTGGAGTGAATCGCAGTTCATCATGGGAAAGATTTTGGCCTCTTTGATTTTTAGGAGTGATTTAAAAATTGCTGTCAGTTCATATTTAAATATTTGATAGACTTCAGCAGAGCAAACGGGTTTTCTGTGAGAGATTTTTTTGATTATTGATTCATGATCATTACTTGTTTACAGTCTGTTTCACTTTCCTACTTCTTCAGTCTTGTTATGGTATATGTATTCAAGAATTTGTCCATTTCTCTAAGTTACCTGACATGGTTTATGTCAGTGGCCCCCAAGCCTCATGCAATTACGGATTTAACCATATCTAGCGTTTGTGGTTGGTTCGTTGTATAGCGCTTGGCTTGGTGGTATGAGTGCTATACCCACCTAGGGATGGTGCCAGAGTCCAATGTAAGGGCAGGAGGAAGGTGTGCCTCTCTCTCTTCTGGGTCCGCACTTTGCTGTTTGCCGTGACCATCAACGGCAGCTCTACCACGCCACCCTGCCTTGGAGCCAGTTGAGTATGGACTGAAACCTCCAAGAACTATAAGAAATAAACCTTTCCTTCCCTAACTTTGGGTGTCAGGTTTTTGTCTCAACAACGAGTAAAAAATAACTAAGACATTATCCAATTTATTAGTAGTTATTCAGAAGAATCATTAATGATTCTTTATAGTTCTGTAGTGTCAGTTCTAGTGTCCCTTTTCTCATCTTTTTCTTGTCTTCCTTTTCTTAGTCTAAAGATTTATTTTTATCTTTTCAAAAACAAGCTTTTTGTTTCACCAATATTTTGTATTTTTTTGTTGCTGTTCTCATTTATTTGTTATGGTGTTCATTATTCCTATCCTTCTAATAATTTTGAGTTTGTTTTTCAAGTCCCCTGAGATGCAGCAATGGATTGAGATCTCTCCACTTTTTATAAAATATATTGACTGATACAAATTTCCTTGAGTACACTTTTGCTGTATCCCTGGGGTAGGCATGTTGTGTGTCTGTTTTTATTTGAAGAAACCTTTGATTTCCTTCGCAATTTTTTCCTTTCTTTATTGGTCATTAATAGTCAGTATATTTCTACATATTTGGATAATTTCCAAAATATTTCACCATTGATTTCTAATTTATTGTCAGAAAGAAAGTCAAGATAATATGCTTCTATTAAATTTGTTGAGACAGTTTGTGGATATCACACTCTCTGCCCTGGAGAATGTCCCATGTGTTAGTAAGAATACATTTTTTGTAACCGTGGATGATTTGTTTTGTAGATGTCTGTTAGGTCCATTTGATCTAGGATGCAATTTGACTCTGATTTGTTTTTTATTTTTAGACAGGGTCTTATTTTGAATTTTAGGCTGGACTTGAACTGCATCACTTAGGCTGGCCTTCAACTCATGAGGATCTTCCAGCCTCACTCTCCTCAGTGCTAGGATTCCAGTTGTGCACCACCATGCCTGGATGACTTTTTCTTTTTTGTTTTTCTGTCTGTGTGCTCCTGAAAGTCTGCGATTAAAGCCTCTTACTATTTTGGAATGTATATTTCTCTTCAATTTCATATATTTATATATAATTTAACAGGAAAAAACAACCATATATATATATATATATATATATATATATATATATATATGACAGGTAATGTCTTAAGGCAACAGTTTTGTTTTTGTTGTTAAGCTAATCAGTGGACTAATCCAGTTATCATACACCCACAATTCATATTCATATTCTTTAGGTCCAGTTACCTCCAAAAAGCCCTACATATGTGTACATAAGACTTAAGGGGGAAATCTAGAAACAAGTGATAATGTTCCCTATTTATTCTATCTTAGTTATTTTTCAATCTGGCCTGCACT